GGGGAAAAGAGAAGCTTAAACAAACAAACTCAGTCGGGGAGTAAAAAATAAGATGAAAACATCTGTCAATGATTTTTGTTGGAGGTAAAGTACCACATAGTCCCATGAATTATGTCGTTATTTATTGGAGAGATGTCTGGCAACAAAGGTATCAAACTTGGCTTATGCTTCGGATGCATATGTTTGAACATGGCGTAATGCTCCATACTAAATGGAAATGCTACGCGTTTGGGAGGATGTAATGCAAATGATATGCAAAAGAACACCGCCAAGGAAAGCGCTAAGAAAAATCAGCAAACAAACTCTGTTCAGGAAGACCCAATGAATGGCTTCCATGAACATAATCTCCACTCTGTTGGGAATTGAGAAATACATCTCTTAGGAAATCGTCCCAAAAATATGAATCTGAGGAACCAATGACCAATGGACTTTGTTGAGGATATCAGTCATCGCCGATTTACTCGTTGTAGAATCAACATCAATCTCTGCTTGGGGAGAAAAATCAATGACATAGATCGCGTCAGGGAATAGCCTTTAACCTTTCCCTGTTGCTGAGGAATAATCTCAATCTTACCTTGATGGGGATAAGTACACATCATTGCTAGTGAGATATTTCTGATCTGACAATAGTACTTTATGGGGAGACAAAAAAACTCTGCTGCAGAATAGATCCCTGACTGCATATCAACACCCTGTCTGAAGTAGTTAGCTTCTGGATACTCGATGGGGAACATAAATTCAACTAGCTAGGGAACTCAAAACCTTGAACTCTTGTTGGGGAGGAATGATTCACCATGTGCTACTGACATTGTTAGAACCTCACTGTCGGGGAGAAAGTTCTTCTAGGGAGAGGATCATGTCATCCTGCAAACAAATAAAACATAATCGGATGTTTTATGTATGTGAAATGGCCACCTTGGTTACCATTCATGACACCTACCGTTCAAGAAAATTCATTGTTTTCAAAATGCTCTGTAAAGCCCCAATGTTTTTACATGTAATGTTTATAAAAAATATTGAACATTTTTTTGCAAGCAAAACAGCAAAAGTAAAAACAAAAATGAAAAGCTTTCTGAGTGAATAATACTTTATTGATTAAAATGGCCTGTAAATAGGCAAATTATAAACGGATGAAATTCCTAAAAAAGAGGTAATTACGTCAAAAGTACAACAAGAAATATACAAATGTCGGCAACATGGAAACAGATAGCCACCATGCGTTGACTCAGCTATAGCTCGTATGTCTTTAATGTTCATCAATGCTCCTCCTTCTGGAAATACTGATTGAACTGATTCTTACCCTTCGAGGTCTCCATATATCAAGATGAATTCACAGATCAAACGCATACCACAGTGGTTTGCTTTTAAATCCCTAACTTTTTCCTGGATCGCCCATGCGAGGTTTTAATCCACCGGGATACTCATTTTTGCCATAGTCGGCTTTTCAGGTTTTCAACTTTGCGGGTTTATTCTTTTTCTTTTATCCCTAATTTTTTCCCGAACCTTTTCCTTTTATGGTTCGCCGGGATGTCCCATTTTTTCCTGGACCTTTCTTTTTCTGTCCAACGTGTCTATTTTAAGAAAAATATTTTTTTACTATGTCTGTGTTCACAGGGGACGTAAAATCTTCACCATCCAGAGTAGATAGTAATAAGGATCCACCAGAGAAAACCTTCCTTACTACGTATGAACCTTCATAGTTTGAAGTCCATTTGCCCCTGTGATCTATCTGAGGAGGAAGGATCTTTTTCAGAACCAGGTCACCTGTCTGGAAGCACCGAGGACGCACCTTGTGGAATCAAGCTTCTCAAGATCAATTTATGTTTTGATGAAGACAAACCACTTGACAAGAAGGCAAATATGTTCAGTCATTTTCAAAACATCATGTTAAAGCAAAGAATCAGGACAAAGACTTGATATGAAGAATAATCTCATTAGAAGGTATAATGAAAATCTTCATCAAGTATTTAAGTCCTAATTGCTCAAATAATCAAAAATCATTGCATTACATAATACACTTTCTTAAGCTTTTGTTAGCAAGATTTTTCTAAGTTTTTTCCAGAGTAATCGATTGCATTCTTTAGAACAATCGATTGCATGATCAAATCTTTCCTTTCTATTGGCTCATGTTTTTTGGTGTAATCGATTGGCACAAATGTGCAATTGATTGCATACATAAAAAATCTTCTTGTTTTTGCTTAAGTGTTGTGTGCAATCGATTGGTGCTTTTCATGCAATCAATTGCTCAGTTCAAAAATTCAAATTTCAAGTGTTTTTTCTGAGTGTGCAATCGATTGGTCCTGTGTGTGCAATCGATTGCTCACTGAATGTTTTTGAAAAATTGTTCTAAAAAATTGCACCTCCTCAACCATTCTTTTCTGAATTGTTTCCATTGAATCATGGCAATTGTTCATTATATTTTCTGAAGTTCTGCATGATAATTCAAAAGGGTGCTTGTGACATATTAATACCTAAACTTTCATTTTTCAAATACACCTCTTTTAAAATCTTTGCTAAAATTTTGATCTTTCCACATCTTGAGTCAAGCCATTTTTCATAAGAACTTTCTGCATATTTTTATATCATTTAAAAGAAAATTCTTGATCAACAAAGTCTTAAATAGTTGTGGAAATTATCATTGAAAGAGAAGATCAATCATAGGATTGATAACTTTGTATACGCAGATTTCAAACTCATTGTAAATCAAAGATCGTATCTATTCCCCTTGGTATTCAAGATTGTTGAAAACAAGTGTGTGCATTGAAGAGGATTGTTTTTCTTGCACTTAGTGTTCAGATTTTAAAGGTGTTAAGATCCTTTAATCTACCTATAGGTTATATAGTAAGCGTACACTCATTCTAACTATAGTGAAATCTCTTTCGGTGTGAAAGGGGACTGGATGTACCTTCGGAATATAGAGGGAACCATGATACTTCTCCGTGTCATTTACTTTCTGCATTTTATTGCTTTCATAACCCCTTCATATCTTAAGAAAAGTAATAACCTCATTCGATAAAAACTAGAAAATTTTAAATAACCTAATTCACCCCCCTCTTAGGTGTAACTCAGGCTATCACACCTTCTGGTCAAAAGTCGTATTCATTCTGCTATGGTATAACCGGCCATGAGAAATGGCTGCCGATATCTTTTCATAAAAAAGACTCAGTTGATTCAACCTGGCTTGCACCCATTCAGCTTCGTCGAGTTTCACACCGGTCAATATCCTCAAAGAAGGAATCTCAACTTCTAATGGTAGGACTGCTTCTGTACCATATACTAATGAGAAAGGAGTTACCCCGGTTGATGTACACACTGGGGTACGATAACCATGTAGAGCAAAGGGAAAAATCTCATGTCAATCCTTATAAGTCACCACCATCTTCTATACGATCTTCTTGATGTTCTTATTTGCTGCCTCAACAGCGCCATTCATCTTTGGATGGTACGGAGAAGAATTGTGGTGTTCAAATTCGAACCATTAACAGTAATGGTTTGCTCTGGTATTCTATAACGGCAGATGATGTCCTCACTTGCCTGGTAACATTAGCAAAGGAAGTTGCTTCTACCCACTTCGTAAAGTAATCAATGGCAACTAGAATAAAGTGATGCCCATTGGAAGCAGTCAGCTCTATCTTTTCAATCATATCGATTCCCCACATTGCAAAAGGCCAAAGAGATGTCAACATGTTCAGAGAGTTAGGTGACACATGCACCTTATCAGCATAAATCTGGCATTTATGGCATTTCCTGGCATATTTGAAGCAATCGGACTCCATAGTCATCCAATAGTATCCAGCTCTAACAATTTTCTAGCCATTGTATGCCCACCAGCGTGAGTACCAAAGGAACCCTCGTGAACCTCTTCCATCGACAAATCTGCTTCATGCTCATCAACACAATGCAGCAAGACCATGTCAAAACTTCTTCTATACAACACATCATCCTTGTTCAAGTAGAAGTTGCTTGAAAGCCTCCTCGCAGTCTTCTTGTCTTTGCTTGATGCTATCACACCCTAATTTTTAACCCTAATATCTCATCTCTTTGTACATCATCTTGCATAACATCTTCAAGGTATCAGATTTTGTGCGCGTGTTTATCATGACTAACAAGTGTGTGCAGATACTCTGATTTCAAGTATAGACGACATTAATTCTCACAGTCAAGCATTTCAAGGTTGCACTACAAGTGATATCTATATTTCTAAGGATTCCTTAGGCATGGTTCTTGTATTAAAATCGCCATCATCTAGAGTATCACTCGAATTCTCATTAACTCCGAGGTTCTTTTGAATTTAGATCTTATCAGAAGGAATGTGTTGACTTAATAATTAAATTGAAGATCAGGATTCGCGAGAAAGGCATGGAGGGTGTCCTGCATAGATTTCTGAGGATTCAAGTAATGAATATATTCCTCGGGTTCATTATTATCTTAGAGTTATCTTAGAGTTCTCATATATGGTGTCAGCTTGTGGATATGCAAGGACCAATTCCAAATCTCAAGTCAATGCTATTCATGTCCATTTCAAGATCAATTTTAGGTCCATATTGTCCATGTTCATTCTAGAATCCAATCTTAGTTTAAGAAGACTTTGCATACCGTAGTGATCAAAAGAAGAATAAAGTCAACCAAGGTTAATCCCATGAATCAAAGGGTACTAATTTATTTCAAGGTTTAAAAGCCAGTATTGGTTTCATCCGGGGCTCATCAAAATCCATTCATGAACTATGAATTCAAGTATCAAGTATCAATTCATTCAATGTTTATCAGTTGGATTCAATTTCATAAATGTTACAAAGGTTACAAATTCAAGTATCCAAAGTGTTTGATGCAAGTTTCACTCTAAGCTACAATCGAGATACAAGAGAAAACATACGAAGTCAATGCATTTGTGTCATTTTCATCCAATTTTGTCCGAATGATAACTAAAAAAAACAGTTCAAAAGTCTAAAGTACTATTTGCGAGATAATTGAAGTTTACATTAAAGAGCTTGACTTAATACATGGAGATATTTCTTCAGGTTTACTACACTAATCTCACAAAATTATTTTGTTGGATAGTGCAATATGATGGGAAAAAAAACCACGGATTGCAAAAGGCCTTGCAACTTGCAGCTTTTGATAGCAGCTCGCAATTTAGCACAATGGATGCAGTGGAATCACCACCTACCAATTTTGAGACCAATACTTTCACAAATCCTTGTCAAGAAATTGCTTCTGTATGTAGTGGCGTTGTAGGATACCAAGAGGAAAATCCGGCAGCTTACAAGTGTTGTGTTCTCCTTCTTATTTCCCTTGATATCATGTGAAAACTAGCTTGAAAGCTCCAATGTTTGGAACGAAAGTCATCAACATTGGCTGCTCAAAACCATTGTTATCCCGTGCTACTGCAGATGATGAAACAAAAAACAAATCAGCACAATCACCAAGTTGTTTCATAAAACCCATAAATGCAGTAATAACAACAAACCATACATGAGAAAAATCGGATTTCCCACATGGACTAACAGACAGGTCAATTAAGAAAGTTCATCATTTTGTTCATTGTTCCAAAACATATCTCCGACACAATTAAACGAGAAAGGAAAGTTCTTCAATGAATTTTACAAGCACGCCTAAAGAAGAAGAAAACTCATCAGACAAAAATAAAATATAATCAAACAACCCTCATCAAAGGAAGCATCAAACACATTCCAAAACACAATATCATGTTCAAATTAAAATGGAAATTCCACCATCATCATCAATCACGTATTCATCACCAACCATTTAATTTGCAGACAACAACATACGGAAACGGAAACATGTTCAATACAAATCGTGCATTCAGAGCAAGAGTTATAACATGAATATTTTCTTTTTCAAAATAGAATCTACACAATCCTGATCATAATTTCAAAATCAGAAGTGTTAAATTCACTTGTGCCTATAAAAGAAATCGAAAACAGACAAATTAAGGGCAGACACAATATTCACACAAAAAACACACAGGGAGTTCAGAACACATCACAAAATCACATCACAAAAAACTCCTCCGTATTCGTTGGAGGAAATACCAAAAGGTCTAGAACAAGAAAGAATCATAAGCGCCTAGAGTAGTTAACGAAAAACACACACCTACGGGCTAAGATTTTCAGAAGAAGAAGAAGAGAGTTTCATAAAGAAGAGGGATAATTCAGAATATTTATCTTCGAGGAGCGACCTCCGTTATCCCGGTCTCGTTTTCATCACCTTCATCTCGACACTTTTCGATGAGCTGCCGCTTCTCAAGTAAACACTCGATACTCCTTCTCTTTGCTCGAATTTGATGTTGCAACTTGAGATCACCATAGCTTAGGCTTCAATTAACATGCTAGCTCTGCAATTTCTTTGCTGTTAAATCTTAGGGTTTGTACCCCTTTTTGAGCATCGATCCAGATTAGGGTGTAGGAGTTGAGAGATTTGAGATTGGGATTATGAGGGGGAGGGTGAAGACGCACGTTTGAGGCACACCGCCGCCAGAAGGCGATTTCCAGCATGGTTTTGTTACAACTCGAAGAAACGCGGGAGAGAAAGGAGAGGGATGTTGTTTGCTGTGTTTTCTCGTTTCTCTGTTTTTTATTAGAATTGTGTCGAATGTGTTATATTGGGCAGGCGGTGGAGTGCGGCCCATTGGTTCTTTTATGAACTTGTTTTTTTAGTTCTTTGGGCTTTCGTTAAGCCCACTCCAAAGAAACTAATTATTTGTTTTTATTTTCTAATTACTAATCTAATGCAATTGATTAGGTGTGATTTGAACTTTGATTCGATGTGTTTTATGTATGTTTACGCCTAATTTATTTGGTGATTAAATTTTGGTTTAATTTAATTTTGACCTACGGCAGCGAATTCCTCTCTGAAAAGCTAGGCATTAGTGTTTAACATGGTTAATACGTTATAAGGTCTTACTCTGAGTTTGATACTTCACCTAACGACATCTTGTGCTGCTTGTTGCTTATCATTGGTTGCCTACTCGTTTGTTTCGGTTTGAATTGAAATCCATGCTTGCTTTGCACTTTTTGGTGACTTTTAATATATTTGCATGTTTATGTCTAAGGGAGGACCCTGTATATGACTTTATAAGTTGTACATACTGCATTTTCACTTGCATCTTCCCCCCGCTTGATCCTTGATTTTTTAGTTTGATCAGCTTAGGTCACCCTTGTATCTCAATATAAGATTCCCCTTAATTTTTCAACTTAAACAACTTATGGACTAAGATCCTTTTCTCCCACAAGAGAATTAGACATGATTCATCTGTGTAGTCGAGATATAATTCTCCTACCCCATAATCAAGAAGAATGTATAATATTTTCCGCTTGAGAGAGGTATTTGGCATACTCGTCGATTAAATCCCAGTTGGAGCCCTTCTCTCAATGCGACGCAAGGACCGTCTTCCATACGTTTGTGGTGGTTAAGTCGAGTTTTCTCCTTAAGATGACGACTTGTCTTTTCTCTTAGAATTAATCAACAAACCTCTCAAGAGTTCCTTATCCCTTTAGGGGAACTACGAATGCTCTGATTCCACTCTCGTCAGGATACGTAGGCACAAGATGCGACTTCTTGGCGAGCATACTTAGAAATAAACCCCCAGGTCTCTTACCCTTAGAAAACAATAATAACACAAGAAAACAAGAGGTTTCTGTAGAGTACTACAGATGCTTAGGATGCTAACACCTTCCCTATGTTTAACCAACCTCCGAACCTTAGATTCTCTAGCTTTGCATTGTATTGCATACTCTTGGGTTATTCGATCTTTTTCCCTTCCCTTGAGCAAATTAAAGACTGGTGGTGAATCATGATTTGTGATTCAAGTTAATCAATAGCTTGATATTTAGTTCTCACTGCGACAGAAATGACAAATTCACTAGGGAATCTTTCTTGAGGGTTCCCTCTAACTTGTTTATTTGTGTTTATTGTTGTTTTATCTATATGTATGTTTATCTGTATATATTATTTCTGCTCTGCTCTAATTTTCATGTCTGAATCAGAAGAATTGTAGATTTCTTTGAGCAAAGCACAACAGGAAGGAGAAGCTTGGAAAAATAAGTATCAAGTGGTTGTTGAAGAGAATGTTGAATTTCAGAGACAATTACAGCTGAAGAATGAAGAAGCACTTTCTTGCAAAAAGAGGAAAGCGCGGGAGGATTTATTTTCCTCTAGCCCTCATACTACCCCTTGGAAGTTAATCGTAAACAAGCTCATCTTCAAGAAGGCCCAGTTAGAGGAGCAGATTAAAGAGCATAATACAAGACTTCCTTAGGACTTTATTAGCTTTTATTTAGCTGTTACTTTAAGACTCTTTTTAAGAATATTTATTTGTAATCCGTTATTAAATAATAAATGAATTTCTTTTGGTATTTTATGACGTTTATAAATACTCGAATTCCATGAAACCTTTCACATTTGCATCTTTGCATTTTGTTTTTCTCTAACCCTTCAAGAAACCCAAATTGTTTTGCAGATATTGTAAAATGGATTTCAGAAGAAGAGAAACATTCAAGTACACCTTCTCAGATAATCGTTTGACCCAAAGGGAACTGAGAAGTCTAATTGATAATTGTTTGACCTTCTCAAATGAATATGGAAGAATCTTTCTGTTTTTGAGACTCAAGATGATTGATGGGCTGCTAGACACGTTCTTCCAGTTCTATGATCCCCTTTACCACTGTTTCACTTTTCTCGACTACCAATTGATGATGGGAATGACCGTCACATCTCGACCTCTATTCTCTGGACCAGGAGACACACATAACGATCAAGACATTGTAAGTGCTACATGCCTGAGTTTGTCTGACATTCAAGCTCACATGACCACTAAGGACGGAGTCCTTGGATTGTCGGATGAATTCTTGATAGAGAAGATTCGTTATCATGCTAATAAGAAGGACACTGAAATACTTGAAGCCACTTTCACACTATTAGCGTATGGGATTTTCTTGTTTGCAAACATCGACGACTTTGTTGATATGGACGCCATCAAGATCTTCATACTCAGGAACCCTGTTCCCACCTTGCTGGCTGGTACCTACCATTCTATCCATCTGAAAAATTATGAAGGAGGGGGTCAGATAGTTTATTGTACTGCTCTTCTTTACACGTGGTTCATTTCTCGTTTCACAAGGTTTCCAACCATTTGGGATTTAAAGGAGGCGCCTTGTTGGTCCAAGATAGTCATGACTCTTACTTACTTTGATGTTATATGGCATGACCTTATGTATGGTGGAGTTAGAATGATTAATAGCTGCAGAGATTTCCCAAATATACCTCTTGTTGGGACAAAAGGATGTATCAATTATAATCCTGTTCTAGCACGCAGACAACTCGGACATCTAATAATGGAGAGGCCAGATCAGACTTTTCTAGAAGAAATTTTTCTCAAGGAAGGAGAAAACTCAGAATTCAAAGCTAGGATATTACAAGCATGGTGTCACATCCACAAGAAAGGGATGACTGTGTTAAGGTATTCTGACTGTACCATTTCAGAGACTTATCTGCAATGGGTGCAAGAAAGGGCTTTTGAGTTGAAGATGCCTTTTCCTTTTCACGAAACCATGGTGTTAACTCTTCGGGATTCCGCCTGCACTGTCACAAATGAAGAAGGGAAGCTAAAAATGCTTTGGACGAGGTTGAAAAGTTAAAGAATGCTTGGAAGAATAAGTACTACATCCTCAAACTAGAGAACAAGAAACTGCAACAGCAAAAGAATGAAGAAGAACCTTCAAGAAAAGGAAAGTGCAAGAGGATTTATTTTCCTCACGCACATTATCAGGGCCGACTACCAGTTCTGGTCTTCCTCCAACTTCGGTGGCTTGAAAACAGTATGTGGACAAGCTTATCCTTGAAAAGGCCAAGATGCAAGAACAGATCAACCGACTTATGGAGGAACTTCATGGAAAGAAGGGGCTGTAATCAAGAGGATTACACTCCTAGTTTCCTTTGCTTTATTTTCTATACTTTTGATGTATCGACTCTTGAAGAAGTACTTTCACTTTGTAATAATTCTTCAATTTGATTAATAAAATGAGTTTTCTCAGTTGTCTTGAAGTCTTGTTATTACAATATTTGCAAGTGTACTTTTTGAGTTTCTTGAACTTTCATCTGCATTTGTGCATGTGCATATGCATCAACATGTCATCCTTTGCATTCCAGATTCTTACTCTTGCTTCATCTTCTCAGACAAGCTGAATCACCGATATAACACTCGAGCCAAGCAGCATCGAAGAATGGATCAACTTGAACAATATGCTTTGTGATGAAGTTACTACCTTAAAAGAGAGTTTGGAAATGC